TACCACTACAGCTGTGTTTCAACTCATCTTTACTTGCTATATCCCTTTTCATCTTTGGTTTCTCTGACAATTCTTTTCCATGTGGAGCCAAGATGCAGACGAATAAAACCCACTGGTCCAAAACTGAAAAAGTTCTCGAGTTCGCAGCTCATTTTATAACCATTTTTATGCAGTAAAGCAAAACCACAGTTTTGTGACCACAATTAAACCGATTGAACCCCATTCCAGGCAACAATCTGCTCGATGTGTGTAGGCTGCTGCTGTGATTCTGAATTGGAAAAGCGACTAAATAAACAAGAAGCAGAACCCAACCAAAAGGATCAAATCAACTTTATTTATAAAGCGCTTTAGAACAGCCACAGCGAAAACAAAGTGCATAGAACAAATGAAACCAACTAAGCAGAGTGAGGTCTCAGGCCGGGTTAAAAGCCAGTGAAGAAAAGTGGGTTTTAAGATTGGTTTTAAACGCAGACAGTGAGGAGGCCTGCCCGATGTGCAAAGGTAGGTCGCTCCACATTCTAGGAGCGGCAACAGAGAATGCTCGGTCCCTCAGAGCGTTCACTTGGACCTCGGTACCTCAAGGAGCAGCTGATCAGCTGACCGGAGGTACCGTGCAGGGGCGTAGGGGTGAAGAAGCTCAGAGAGGTAGGGCAGCGAGGCCATTTAAAGATTTAAAAACAAAACAATCTTAAAATGGACCCCAAAGTGCACGGGCAGCCAGTGGAGGGAGGCCAGCATGGGTGTGATGTGCTCCAGTTAGCAGACGGGCGGCGGCGTTCTGGACTAACTGGAGACGTGCAGGGGAGGACTGGCTAACTCCAAAATAAAGAGCATTGCAATAATCCAGCCGAGAGGGGATGAAGGCATGGATCGCTGCTTCAAAGAGAAAAGGCTTCACCTCTGCAAGCTGCCCAAGGTGAAAGAATCTTGACTTTACTGCCGCACTGTATGTGGATCTTAGTCAATGAATCATGCTTGAAGATGGAGACGCACGATGCCACGATAGAAATGTACAAAAGAGTACGCTGTGACCAGAAACACCATTTGGAAAGTGTTGAATACGGAGAGTTTGATGTTGCCTGTGCAAGAATGATCTGCTGCAGAAAGAAATGTGTGGTTGCATAGATGACTGGAGTGGGTTAGGAAGGTACATTGAGGTGTGGTGGTTGTGTGTGTGTTGCACAGTGACTGAGAGTTGAACTGCATTTTTGAATTCTGAAATTATGTCATATAGAAGTTTTGTTAAGCCAGAATATTATCAAAATGTTAGCTCGTTAGCGAGATCCGAGCACAGCGGGGAAGTTCACCTTCTGCACATAAAAGCTGCTCTGTTTTCTTTTTTTTTGTTGTCCTTGTTTTATTTGTTTAAAGCAGTTTAAATTGTCCTGTTTCTTTATGATAGCGGTGTCAGACTCCACTCCTGGTGTCTGGTGAGCAGCTCGTTGACTCTCCACAGCAATCCAGTGGAATGCTTCTTTTCAAGGAATGTGCACGTTTGTTAAATTTAAAAATAACTGAATTTCATGGTTGTTCAGGTTCTTGTTGTGCAGCTGCAATCAGGGAGTAGGCTGGAATACTTCTAGATATCTGAAACGCAACAAAAGGCTGATATCGCCTTGATAAAGAAACCCCAAAGTAAGTAAAAGCTGAACCCTTTCAACTTCAAGATTGCATTTACAACCACACACAGGTTTAGTCTCGGGCAGTAATGCACACATGAAACGTCTTTACAAGATTTATTTAGTGAGTTTAAGAGAGACAAGTGCTAGAAAAACTGCTTAATGTGAATGTTTTCTGCGTTATAAATACTTTCTAATGAACCTCAGCAGATGTTTCCTGCCTTTGTTGGACCTTCCAGCAGTTGTTGTAAATAATGCTCCTATTCACAGTATTATTATTTGTAACAGACAATAAAGCAACGTTGTGGGAACATTCGCTGCTATCTGGGCTGTCAAACATTATAAAAACTTCATCATTATCACCTCTTCAGTGGTCTTATCTTCACTCAGCGTTCCAGCTACACTGATAAGACAACAACACTGACTCCGTGTACAGGAAGGGGATGAGCTGCCTCTATCTGCTGAGGAAGCTGAGATCCTTCAACGTGTGCAGCAGCATGTTGGAGGTCTTCTGCGCCCTGTACGTCGCAGTGGTCTGCTGGGGAGCAGCATCAGAGCCGGTGATAAGAACAGACTGAGCAAGCTGATCAGGACAACTGGTGCTGTGACTGACTGCAAACCGGACTGTTTTGAAGCTGGGGTGGAGAGGAGGACTTTAGATAAGCTGTTGTCCATCCTGGAGAACCCGGACCACACGCTTCACCCCCTGCTGGACAGTAGCTTCTCCACCAGGCCATAAGGACAGGTACAGGAAGTCTTTCCCTGTTCGACACACCACCTCGGCTGGCAGAGCTCTCATCTTGTAGTTCCATCGTTTGCACACTTCTGTTGTGCTCTTTGTTGCTCATCACTATCTGCACTCCACACAGGACTTCAGACATATCACACTTATTGTATATTTTGCATTTTCTATTTCTTATTATTTTTGCTTATTTATCTGTATTTATGGTGGTGATAACTTTATCTTTGTGCTGCAACAACCAAACTTCCTGTTGGGGATTCACAGAGTATTTCTATTCTAAACTACAACATGACACAAAACTGAAAATGACTTTTTCTGGACAAACGTTGACACAGATTTGAAAATATTTCGTGTTCTGAAGGCTGGTAGTGGACCCTGGGCTTCAAACTCCCTGAGTCCGCCTCTGACAGCCCATCGGCAGCAGCCCAGTCTGCCCACAGCTCCCAGTCTGAGGGAGGAGCCGCCGCGCAGGACGCACAGGAAGGACGCACGCCTCTGCTGCACCTTCCTCCACTCAGAGAGACGCTGAGAGGAGTTTAATGACATTTAGTGAGTCCAGCTTCGTACAGTTGAGATTTTTCACGAGGATTTTCGACCGATCAGATCTTCTGAACGCGTCGCCTGAAGGTGGAGGAAGCGCCTGAACACAGCCAGCAGCAGCCTGTTGATCAGCGATGGGCAGCACCTCAGTCCACAACCAGGACCACGGAGCCGCTGAAAGGTTCGTGTGTCCCCGATATGGCCTGTATTGATCACGGCATGTCAGAAAAGAGACGCACTCCAGCCTCCGGGGCATCAGAGAGCGACAGGACCAGAACCACAGAGACATTCCCACATCAGTTTAATCTGCTGGGATGAAAGCTCTGGAACAACTCAGTAAGCAGGTCCTTTAGTTGGTATTTGGATTTTACAAGAACTTTCAGTGTTTGTTTTGATGCTGTGAGCTCTGAAACTTTATTTTATTGTAATTTAAAATAATGAAAACAGGAGAGGTGGTTGAACTTTGAAGAAGCAGTGAGTCAGAGATGTTTCAGGTTCACCTGCATGAATGAAGCCACCTGATTTCAAGTCTTAAAGTTCAGGCAGGTGCAGCACTTGTTGACCTGCAGGCACTGTGGAGCTGCAGTGTTCGGTTGTGGTCAGTTCTTCCAGAAGGTCGGGTTCTGCGCCATCCTCCTCTGGAAGTTCTCACCTCCATTCATTAGATATGGGCTAAAAATGAGCAACGAGGTGTCACCAAGCTCCCTCAGCTTCATGACCTACTGAAACATTTTGGTCTGTTTGCAATGAGTTAAAGGTGGAAATGCTCCTGGCGGGCCTCATACAGCTCACAGTAATCACTCAGAAATACTTCTAACTAGTTTGTGAAGGAATTCCACCAAACATCAGCTTCAAGGAAAACTCCATTTACAGGAAAATACAGGAGATTTTCAGCCTTTTATTGCAGCAAACATGAATTCATCTTTCAGTTCCATTCTTACTTTTAGCATATTGCAGCATTACAGGGTTACATAATGCGCCGGGTGTGGGGACGAGTGGGAGTTTTATAGGGACCTGTTAGCCAACACAAAGGCAATTAAAAAGGGATGAGTGAGCAGGAAAGAATCCACCCATGCTCTCACCTGTGTGGATCGCACCAGTTTGTGCAGAGAGCAGGTTTAGTGTGGCTCTCAGAAAGCTACACAAGCTTGCTGACTCAAATCCTTCCTCCCTGTCTGAACATCTGAGAGAAGCTGCTCTCAGACCGGCGTATTAGCATGCAACCGGTATTTCACTGGGCTTACACCATTGGTTCCCCCCCGTGATCTAGTTGAAATACTCCTGAATGAACTATGTAGGTGTGGAGAGCTTTGTGAAGGTCTGTTGGACAGTTGCACAAAACAACATTTTACAAAAGAATCAGCAGCTGTTTTGATTCTTGTAATCGTAGCAGCTGGACCTGCTTGAGTTCCTTGAAGACGTTCCACCTCTCATCCAAGAGGCTTCATCAGCTCTGACTGACTAGTTGGGAGATCCACATATCCTTAAGGAGCCATTAACACCTGAGTTTCAACTGGGGGTTTGTTGCTCCTCCCAATAGAAATCAACCTGGATGACTGAGGATCTTCACAGACATCGAGCTGTTTTAATGCTTCAGTGCTTCACACATGGCTTCTTATACAGACTCCTCAGCATGCAGGACACCACGTTTCTACAGAGGCTATTTGTCAGCTGCTCATTGTTGAAGCGGTTATGTTGCTCTCTGTTTCTGTTAAAATATTTCACGTTGTTCTGTTGAATTTAAATTGGCAGACACGCTTGGTGAGGTTTTATTTTTCATTTTTGTCTTGTGTGATTCTGGCAGTGTGCTCTGGATGATTGACAGGCTGTAATATTCCTCTTCTGCCAAGCTCCCGCAAACCGGGAGTCGTCTCATCCTCCAGTATTTTGGTATATTCACAGGCATCCATTGGAATAACAACTTTTGGACTCGCGCAGCCCGATATCATCGCACGCCCACGTCGGTGCTTCGGTACTGGGACTGTGCGTTCACGGTGGTGGTCCTGGCCAGGAACACAGAACATCCTGGACCCCATCTTAGTCCAACGCATTTATGAAACCTGACGAAAGCTCCTGATATTCACGAGGCTTTTTTCTGTGTTCGTCACCAGTCATCATCATCAGAGGCCATGATACGCCGTCCACCACACCACGCTCTGTCTGCGGTGGTGTTTTAGGAGGACGTCTCAGTAGCTTGTTTTACGTCCCCTGATTGCTGCTGTTTTGACTGATTTTTAGTTCTTCCTGTTCCATTATTACGAAGTCTCACGATCAGAAGCCACGATGTGACCTGTGGGGCAGCTGAGTGGTCGACTGGTTGGTTGTTTGGGCAAGACGCTGAACCAAAACGCACCCCAAGTTGCAAATGAAAAGCATATTGTAGAATCTAAATAATGTCACAAGTTAAGTACAAACCCTTCATTGTGATGCAGATAGGCAGAGCCCACTGGTACAAAACTGAAATAAATCAAGCAGTTTTCTAACCATGTTCATGCAGTTGGGATAACTGGACATCACAGGTGTTTAGTTTCAGTGTTCACAGGTTTTCTAACGTGTGTGTCAGTGAACACAAGTCTATAAACTTTGCTGCTGCTTTGGGAGCTGCGTTTTCAATATAGTCTATCTGCAGTATACTCTATTCTACAGCTCAGCTCAGTCATAAAGCGATTTCTGAGAGTTGATACCGTTCTTAATCAAGTGATATTGCACAGCAGTTTGCTCAGCTCTGCTGTGTACTGTACGTAGTCTGGATAGCAGCTCTGCAGATGAAAACATGAACACACCTGACAGGACTTAGTCAATCTGTACATACGAACAGGCAGGCGGTCAATTAGATT